AGTTCTGCCCTCAAACCCCCTTTTCCACACACCTCCCCCCGCCCCCCCCAACAAAAAAATGGTCCTCCTACCACCCCACCAACCTCTGCATCCAGTGCATCGTCTTCTGCCACCTACAATCTGACCCCCTCAGCCAAAGGCATTTTTCCCTCCCCACCCCTAACTGCCTTTCGTAGGGACCGCTTTCTCTGCGACTCCCTCGTCCGCTCCACACTCCCCTCCAGCCCCACCTTTCCCTGCAACCACAGGAAGTACTACACCTGCCCCTGCACCTCCCCCCTCGCCCCCATTCAAAGCACCAAACATATCAGACAAGGTTCACCTGCTCATCCATCAACTTGGTCTACTGTATCCGCTGTTCCTGATGTGGCCTCCTCTACATCAGTGAGACCAATTCGTGGAGCATCTGTGCCCTGTATGCTATAATCAACACCACTTTCTGGTTGTTGACCATTTTGACTCCCCCTCCCACTCCGTGGGTGATATGTCCACCCTGGGCCGCCTCCAATGCCACAACGATGCCACCTGCAAACTGCAGGAACCACACCTCATATTCCACCTCAGGCGCTTACAGCCCCATGGCCTTAACATAGAATTCACCAGTTTCAACATCTCCCCATCACCGGCCTCATCCCACGTCCAACCGTCCCTCTCATCCCCACCTCCTTGACATGACACAACCTGTCCATCTTTTCTCACTTCTCTGCCCCACCCTTCCCATGACTTATCTCCTCAAACCCCTGCCTGTGTCCACCTATCACTGCCTCACCTACCTTCCCCAGCCCCACTCCCCCTTCCCTCTGTTTATTTCCCAGCTCCCCTCCACTTCCCCAGACCTGAAACATTGACTCTCCTGTTCCTCTGCTGCCCAACCTGCTGTGTTCCTCCAGCTCCACACTGTCTTGACAAAGACAATTGGTGATTCTTTAAAGACCACAGCAAAGTAAAAGACCACTCAGCCCATCATGCCTAGGTTGAAACAACTATTCACATCACATTCATCCCATTTCGTTTCATTTCATCACTTTTCGTCCCATGTTCATTTTGTCTCTCTTTCCCTATACCTGTGCAAAAGAATAAACTTTTCCTCTTCAATATTTATCTCATTTGAAAGATCTTATTGTCTGAATTCACTGCTCTCTCAGGCAATTCACTCCCAATCTCTGCTTTCACTAAAACAAGTCCTCATCTGCCCCCTTGGATCTGTTTTGCTGATCCTTTGCTATCACAGATTCTGCGTGTTTCTGTGACTGTTCAGGGAAATATATTCCTCCTGAATGGATAGTAGATAGGTATGAAGAGCTGCTCCAGTTTCTTTGTCAAAATCTCTAGAAACATACAAAACAGGAATAGGAGTAGGCCATTTGGCCCTTCAAACCTGCTCCACCATTTGCTATGATCATGGCTGATCATCCAACTTGGTCCCCTGTTCTCGCTTTCTCCCCCATACCCTTTGATCCCTTTAGCCCTAAGAACTGTATCATTCAATGTTTTGGCCTCAACAGGTTTCTGTGGCAGAGAATTCTACAGGCTCCCCACTCTCTGGGTAAAGACATTTCTCCTCATCCCACTCCTAAATGGCCTCCTCTGTATCCTTAGACTGTGACTCCTGGTTCTGGACTCCCTGGCCATTGGGAACACCCTTCCTGTGTTTACCCTGTCTGGTCCTGTTAGAATTTTATAGGTTTCTATAAGATTTCGCACCCCCTCTCTCCCATTCTTCTAAACACGGGTGCATAGAGTCCTAACGCTTCTATTTTTTTTCTCCATACGTCAGTCCTGCCGTCCCAGGAATCCGTTTGGGGAATCTTTGTTGCGTTCTGTCCATGGCTAGAACATCCTTCCTCTGAGAAAGAGACCAAAACTGTATACAATATTCCAGCCATATCATGAGCATACAGTTAGTGCATTCTTTCCATCACTTAACCCAGGGAATATCCCATGAGATTGAAAAGCATGGATTTCCTCTGTAGCAGAACAATCAAATTCCCCTAAAGAACCACTCGTCCCTCCCCGAGAGCTGATGTAAGGGCAGCTAGTGAAATGTGCATTGTTGCAAAAATAGCTTCGCATGCAGAGGATACTAGAAGTGATAAGGAGGACTGGAGCCAATATTTTATTATTGTTAGAGCTAAACCTTATAAGGTCATTGACCATTGTCTTCACATTATGTGGACTGTGTGATGGAGGGAACAGGGCATGTCATTGGCTGTCAGCAACACATGGTTTGGGAGCTTGGAAGCAGTCAGGGAAGTAATGTCGAAAGAGAGAGCGAGACACAGAAGTGGGCTGAGGGTGGGAGAAATAAAGCAGTGAGTTTTGCTTAGTAACATTTGAGGGTCAGGTACAATGCCTAGAGCCTGTGCTGTTGTTCACTCTGATTGTGGTTGGTCTGTGGCTTTAGTACTACCTATTCTTCTTGCCTCCTGAACACTGAGGCGCGCACACACAAACATGCCTCTGTGCCTTCGTAAATACCTACATACAGACAATAGCAACACACAGTTTCAGGTTTTCACTGCTAATGTGTGTAAAAAGTTCCTTCTTAACATTACCCCTGGACAGTCTGGCATGGCTCTGTCCCTTGTTGTGGATTCTGTTGACAGAGAGAGGTACAGTGAGAGGTTCAAACCAGGGACTGCACGCCACCCCCCCCCATTCCCCCCCCCCCCCCCCCCCCCCCCCCCAACAGCTTCCCTTCCCGTTTAAAACCATGGGAACATCTAATCTAGTATTGGAGTACAAGATACAATCCACGAGACACATCCCAGCTCCCCCCAGCCTCAATAAAACAGCCTGACTCACTCTGCCTGAGTGAAGTCCCATTCTATTCACTTTTTAAAGTGTACACCACTCCTGCTAAGTATTTATCCCTCGCCCCATATTCCATGGCAGCCAGTCATCTGCTTATTGTTCTGCTGCTGTTGGAAGCTTCCTGTGCAAAAACAGACCCATATTTTCCTTCAGTATAATAGTAACCATATTTCAAATCACCCTTCCCTGTCTGGAAGGGCTGTGGGGATTTCCACAATGTACTACCTAAGCACAAATCTATCTTCCAAACAGTCATGAAATTATCTCACAGTCAGAGTCTCTCAGCATAGAAACAGGCCCTTTGGCCCAGCATGTCCATGCTAACCAACAAACACCAAATTACCCTTATCTCATTCAACTTCACTTGGTCCATAGCCTACTATGTCCTGACATTTTAAGTGCTCATCCAGACGCTTCTTAGATGTTATGAGACTGTCTGCCTCCACCCCCCTCAGGCAGCATGTTCTAGATTTATACCACCCTCTGGGTGGGGAATGTTTTCTTTCAGGTTCCCCCAAACTATTTACTCCTCACCTTAAATTTATGCATGCAGGTCTTGGACACGCCTGGCCATGGGGGAAAAAATTCGAATGAGCTACCCTGTCTATGCATCTCATGATCCAGGATCTAAATACTAGTTTAATGTACGCACTGTAAAAGTGAGTTACTGGAGCTCTAAAGCAAACAAAAAAAATTACAGGAAGTGCTGACTTTCTGCAGCAGGTGTGGAAACAGAAACAGTTAACGTTTCAAGTCTGATTTTGATTCCTCTTCAGATCAGTTTATGAAATCAGTCTGAATTGAACCTGCACTGCGCTCAGCCCCATCCCACATCTCCCTGGTCATGTTTCGAAATGAATTCTTTTACAGCACAGAAAGGGAGGTGTGTGTAAGGGGAGATACATCCCAGCTATAAATTAACCCCTTCCTGCTTCTGTTTGTGTAGCACAGATCTGACTGGTCAATGGTCAATGTCAGTGTGCAAGCTCCTCTCTCAATCCTTCCCCCAGTACCCCCTCCTTCCTCTCTCTGAGGTTTATCCAAAATCCTCAAATGTATCTGTGATCTTTATTCTTTGATGTGGCAAGGCCAGCACCTGTTGTCCATCCTTAATAGCCCTTGAATTGAGTGCCCTACTGGGTCTGGAGTCACCTGTAGGCCAGACTAGGTAAAAATAATAGATTTCCTTCCCTGAGGATTTTTTTACAACAATCGCTTGTGACTTTACGGTGACCATACTGAGATTAACTATTAAATTCCATGTTTTATTAATGAGCCTTAAATTTCATTCCACTAGTTGCTATGGTGGGATTGGAGCACCTGTCTCAAACCTGGGCCTTTACATCACTGGTCCAGTAACATTACAACTACATCACTGTCTCCCAACAGCTCTCAGCTGTTCCTCCTGAATGTTATTGTACCCTTATTCACCTGGATTGTATTGCCATTACTAATGACTACCTTAATTACAATCTCTGGGTTTGGACTCCTCACCAGTGGGTAGAAATCTAGAAACAGGAGTAGGCCATTTGGCCCTTCAAGCCCAGTCTGTCATTCAACATGGTACATGGCAGATCCTCCAATTCAGTCTCCTGTTCCGGCTTTCTCCTCCATACCCTTTGATCCCATTAGCCCTAAGAACTTTATTGAACTCATTCTACAACTGTTTGCTGTGGTAGAGAATTCCATGTGCTCCTCACTCTGGGTGAAGTCATTTCACCTCCCATCAATCCTGAATAGCCTATCCCACCTTAAACTGTGACCACTGGTTCTGGACTATCACCACGGCCGCCCCCCTGCCCCCCCTTGTCATTGGTAACATCTTTCCTGCATTTACCCTGTCTAACCTTGTTAGAATTTTAGATTTCTGAGATTCCTTTCACTCTTCTAAACTCTTTTTTGAATATAGCCCTAACTGGTCCAGCCTCTCCTCATATGTAACTCCTTCCTTCTGAGGAATCAGTCTGGTAAACTTTCGTATATTTATCTATTTATGTATTTATTTGTATATTTATCATTAAGTGTATATTAAAAAAATATATTACTTATTTCATTCTAATGAATACCCTCTCCCCACACTCCCTAAGGTCATGACGTGCTAAAATGTGGAGACAGGATGTTGTCTAGATTTCAGGGATGCTTGATTGTTCAGTGCCTTTGGTCATCTGCTCCTCTTCTCTGCTTTGTTGAAGGTAACCCACACCAAGAGCCATGCCTGACCTGTCACAGGCCGTCTCCAAATCCTTGAATAAAACCACAGCTGGGATTCAAATATGGCGAATTGAGGTCAGTAGAAGTTTCTGTTTGAAATAGCGAAACCCAACCACGTGCGTGAGAATAGTTTTATTTTCACTTGTTCCTGGGATGTGGGGCATCATTGGCTGTGCCAGCATTAAACGGCCATCCCAAAATGAGCACCAAAAGAATCAATGTGTGTGGGTCTGGAGTCATGTGTAGGCCAGACCAGGTAAAATAGCAGTTTCCTTCCCCAATGTACACAAGTGAATCAGGTGGACTTTTCCACCAATGGTTTCATGGTCCTTGTTAGACTCTTAATTCCAGATTTTTAGCATATTCCACCATCTGCTGTGGCAGGGTATGAACCCAAGTCCCCAGAACGTTACCAGGGTCTCTGGATTAGTAGTCGATACAGTGTGGAGCTGGAGGAACACAGCAGGCCAGGCAGCATCAGAGGAGCAAGAAAGTCCACGTTTCAGGTCGGGAATCTTCTTCAGGACTGGGGAGGGGGAAGCAAGCTCAGAAAAAAATGGGAGGATGTGGTGACGCCAGGTGAAGGTAGGTGGGGTGGTAATAGGTGAGTGCAGGTAGGGGGCTGTGGAGAGTGACCAATGGGAAGGGTGGGGTGGAGAGGTTGTGTCAGGTAAAGGATGAGAGGGAGGGCTGAACATGGGATGAAGCTGGGGGCGTGGTGGGGAGATTTTGAAGCTATTTAATTCTGTTATTTCTGAGCACCCAAAACATCGATTCTCCCGCTCCTCTGCTACTGCCTGAGCAGCTGTGTTCCTCCAGCTCACATTGTATTGACTCTGACTTCCAGTTTTTGCAGTTCTTGCTATCTCTCTGGGTTAATAGTCCAGGCATCACCCTGTCCAACAGTGACTACTCCACTAAGTTTGTACTCCATTCCAAGCTGAAAGAATGATCAGATGTAGCTGTGACTATTAGTTAATGTGTAAATATTCTCCGATCTGTCAGTGTTTTGCAAACTCCTTCAGCTCAACTCAGATTTAAATGGCTGAGCACATTACGCCCCTTTTAAGGATGGCAGCTTGTTTCCTCAAAGGATATTAATTAGCCTCTTGAGTATTTGTGAGGCTTCATCCTTTTAGTGAAAGCAGGTTTCTAGTCCGAGATTACTTTGAAATTACTTTTAAATCGTTAAACTTCTGTATTTGGGGTTTGCATTCCATGATTCTAGCATAAGCATTACATTACTTTCCCTGTGTCTGACTGACAAAGGGTGAGAGTTTTACTCTGTATCTAACTCTGTGCTATCCATGTCCTGGGAGTGTTTGATGGAGGACGGTGTAGAGAGAGCTTTACTTAGTTTAAAAGAATTGAGGGAGTTTTACCCTGCATCTTTCTCCTGTTTGATGCGAACAAGTGACACCTTGCCTCTCCTTGCCACATTGCTGTTTAAAAGTGAGCTGACCTTTGGTTGACCTGAAAGTCTTGAGTGTGACATGATTATATTCCAGCAAAGTGACTATCTGTGTGTTGCTGTAACAACAGATTAGTCATCAGGAGTTTAATTTTTGTCATGTATTGGTATTTACAGAAAATGCTGATGGTTCCTGTGCCCCCAAGATCCTATGGCAATTTCTATGAAGGCGATTGTTACATCCTGTTTGCAGTAAGTAGGCCGATGCTGATGTTTAATGATCAACAAGTTAAACTATTCCAACACCAATCTCCATCAGCTCGCTGACTCCTGGTCCCGCAATGTTTTGAGTTCAAAATTTGCACTTTGTTTTCCCGTTTCTCTGCTGCCTTTCCTCTCTCCATCTTTGCAACCATCTCCAGTCCCTGACCTCCTCCAGTTTTTGAACCCTTGCATGTTTTCTGATTTCTATTGCTCCACCATTCCTTACTGTACCCTCAGCGTACTGAGCAAGGAGTTCTGCGACTTCCCTCCTGATTCTTTTCTCCCACTTGAAAACATTTTTATCCTCTTCCGAGATCACTTTTTTAAATGTCTTCAGTTTGTAAACGTGCTTGACGAGGGGTATGACCAAACCCTGGTAACAGGGCTGCACCAGGAGATTGTATACACCATCCACTCTATTCTTTTATCTTCCAATGCAGTGATTCTGTTGCATTCCTGATTGGCCTAATACCTAATGCCCTCCATAAACTTGCATTAATCCCAATCTCTGTCAGCATCTGGGCCTCCCACACTCCCCCCAATGGGGGAGTAGCTGCCTGATGGGTTTTACCACAATATTAGCCACTTGGCCGTGATACCAGGGGAATGGTTAGTGGTTTTGTCCAACAAAGGGCAAGTGGGAGAGAGGGAATGGAAATGGATATTCATCCGATTGTGCATCTAATTGACCCCAAACTTCTGCTGAAGTGTTCTGTGGGGGCAAGGGGAGGGATGGTATGTAAGTCTTCAGGAGTTGCCAGACCCAGATGAGTTGTACCAAGCCATTCACAGTGTTGGTCCATGCTCGTTCTCCCCTTGTGTATGGGCTGTTGGTATCACTGGTGAAGTAACAAATGCTGCCCATCCCTCACACTGCCCTGGAATGTGGTCCTTGCTTGACCTTTCATCAGGAAATTAAAAGTCAGACATATTGCTGTGGGTCTGGAGTCACATGTAGGCCAGACTGGGTAAGGATGGCAGATTTCCTTCCCTAAAGGATGTTGGTGAGCCTGGTGGGTATTACGACAATACTGACTCCTAAGCAGATTTTAATTGAATTCTAATCTCACCATCTGTCTCTGTGGGATTCGAATCCCTGTCGTCAGAATCTTTTAAAAGCCAAGTTCGGTGGGTATTAGACATCTGAAACCAAAAACAAAGTGCTGAAAAAATTCAGTGGGTCTGGCAGCCTTTGTGGAGAGAGAAACCGTGTTAATGTCTCTAATCCAGCCTGACTCCTGTGTGGAACCTGGAACTGTCCCCACTGTATGAGCCTGGGGTTCTGGATGACTGATGCAGTCACGGCACCACTACATTACCACCTCCAACAACGTTCTCCTTCCTGCATTCACGCTCCAAGCAAGTTATCTCGCCGTGTCAGCTTATTCCTTTCTTCCTCGTGTGTTTTCTGGTTCTGCCTTTAAAGATGTTCCTCCAATTCCCCCACAACAGTGCCCCACAATTATCATAGGCACCATCCCTTCAAACTGACCCCGTGTCTTCCTATCCTTAGACTCATAAAACCAGGAGCTCCTTCACTTACGACATCCACTTCTGGATTGGCCAAGACTCCTCGCAGGATGAGCAGGGGGCGGCTGCGATCTACACCTCTCAGATGGATGACTACCTGGGAGGCAAGGCTGTGCAGCACCGGGAGGTACAGAGATACGAGTCAGAGACCTTCAAGGGCTATTTCAAGAAGGGGTTCATGTGAGTCAAGCCTTCAGCGTTATCCAGTGGTGGCCTGGTCTGAATGGGGACAGGAATGGGTGTGACAGGTTCAAGGGGATGAAGGCCTGCTCCTCTCCCTATGAGTGAAGGAGGGGGTGGAGTGGGTACTCCCCTTGGTTTGTTTCACCGTTGGGGGTCCTGACAGCAGGGGCATCAGCTCGCTTCCAGCTCCCGTCTACTCTGCACGTTCAAAGGTTGGATAATCCATTCCAATCCTCTGGAGGGACAGAGACCAATTGTAGGAGAAAGTTTGGGTTGGGGATAATGGGCCTCCATCCAATTGCCTCCATAGACCGGGAGGTCATACAGCAGATGCCCCAAACAGCAAGCTGGTCCCAGCTCTAGGTTTAAAGACCACCCTTTCTGAATGTCTGAAGTTTTTTATGGTAAGGTCCAATAGTTGACCAGTTGAGATGAAAGTAAATGAGCAGCTGCCACCTTCAGCTGCAGGAACTACCGCTGCATGTGGCCATGGCCCATGTGATTTGGGCCTGTTCCTCCTGTCCTTGCCCACCCGTCCGTTGCTGTCAGCAAACTCCCAAATGGTTTCACTTCTGGTGCTTGAAAAGCAGCAGGCAATGGAATTGTTATAACAAGGTCCAGAGTCTGTTCATTACCCACTTCAAAAGGGAGGACAGGCCATTCATTTTCATGCTCTGTCTCCTTTGCTGACTTTACCAACTGGAGAGTTGCTGTCACATTGACAACCCAATGCCTTATTTGTCATTTCCGTTCGGGGATGGGAGATGGGGAAGATTGGGTGAGAAAAGGTCCCCGCACTGCCCACCTGATTTAGGACCATGAGATCCAGCCCATAGTCCACTATTTAAGTTAATGGAGGTTGTGCGGGTTTAGAACTTTTGACTATGAAGCAATTGTGCCACTCTCCCTGAATCGTGGCTGGCCCACATAAATGGTGATCCTAGACCAATTTTTTTTTTAACTTAAATTGGCTCAAGTTTGAAGCTGATCTTGTGTTTCTTTTTTTAACAGTTACAAATGTGGCGGTGTTGCTACTGGACTAAAACATGTGGAGACAAATTCCTATGATGTGAAGAGGCTGCTCCACGTGAAGGGGAAGAAGAATGTGTATGCGGGTGAGGTCAGTCCATCTCCCTAATTGGAACCTCCCAGGATTCTGGCCAGGATTTCCACTTGGGAATGTTACATGCAACATCTTCACACCATTCCAGTTTGTGTTGTTACTTGCCAAGTGCAGAGAGGGTTGGTTGGTGGGGGGTGGGGTGTTGTCAGATCCAGTTGGGGAGCATGGGGTGACAATGAGCCTAAATGCCTGCAGGTTCGTGGGGAGTGTTATAAATCTAACCAGAAGATTGCACTGGTAATCAAACCCTATTACTCCATAGACCATATCCCAGGGTTGAAGTGTCAATGACTAGGTAAACGTAAGTGAATTCAAAGGAGATATAGGACTTTGGTTCGACCACATTTGGAATACTGTGTACAGTTCTGGTCGCCACATTACCAAAAGGATGTGGATGCTTTGGAGAGGGTGCAGAGGAGGTTCACCAGGATGTTGCCTGGTGTGGAGGGCACTAGCTATGAAGAGAGGTTGAGTAGATTAGAATTATTTACATTAGAAAGACGGAGGTTGAGGGGGGACCTGATTGAGGTTTACAAAGTCATGAGAGGTATAGACAGAATGGATATCAAGAAGCTTTCTCCCAGAGTGGGGACTCAATTACTAGGGGTCATGATTTCAAGGTGAGAGGGGAAAAGTTCTTTATGCAGAGGGTGGTGGGTGCCTGGAACGTGTTGCCAGCGGAGGTGGTAGAGGTGGGCACGATAGCGTCATTTAAGATGTATCTAGACAGATACATGAATGGGCAGGGAGCAGAGGAATACAGATCCTTGGAAAATAGGTGACAGATTTAGATAGAGGATCTGGATCGGCGCAGGCTTTGAGGGCGAGGAGCCTGTTCCTGTGCTGTAATTTTCTTTGTTCTTTGTTCTTTGAGATGTGAGAGACAACTTGTTTTTACACAGAAGGTGGTAAGTGCCTAGGATGTGCTGCCAGAGGAGATGATTGAGGCAGATCCAACAATACTGCGTTCAATTCTGGTCTCCCTGCTATAGGAAGGATGTTGAGAAACTTGAAAGGGTTCAGAAAAGATTTACAAAGATGTTGCCAGGGTTGAAGCGTTTGAGTTTAGGGAGAGGCTGAAATGACTGGGGGTATTTTCCCTGGAGCATTGGTGGCTGAGGGGTGACCTTATAGAGACTTAAAATCCTGAGGGGCATGGATAGGGTGAAAAGCCAAGGCCTTTTCCCCAGGGTTGGGGGGAGTGCAAAACTAGAGTGCATAGGTTAAGGTGAGAGAGGAAAGATTTAAAAGGGATTTAAGGAGCAATTTTTTCAGTGTGGTGCATGTATGGAATGAGCTGCCAGAAATGGTGGAGGCTGGTACAATTATATCATTTAAGAGGCATCTGGATGGGTATATGAATAGGAAGGGTTTAAGAGGGATATGGGCCAAATGCTGGCTAATGGCACCAGTTTAATTTAGCATATCTGGTCAGTATGGACGAGTTGGACCAAAGGGTCTGTTTCCATGCTGTACATCTCTCTGACTTTAATAGCAATGTTTGAGGCATCTTGACAGATACATGAATAGGCAGGTAATAGAGGGATATAGACTGTGTGGAGGCAAAAGGATTCTAGTTTAGAAAGGCATTGTGTCAGCACAAGCTTGGTTGACCAAAGGGCATCCTTTGTAAAAGTATAAATGTTGTATTTAATCATCAAATGGTCAACTTGCCTCTTCTTAGTACTATTATCCTGCCCAAAAGAGACCTTTTTTCCAGGTTTATTCGATAAATTCAAAAATAACTTGATTGTAAGCAACCTTATTCTTCAATCAAGTAGCAAAATGGGTTATCAACTAAGCCATGATACAGAATTCAACTCGTGTCTTATTAAACCCAAATATATACACATTCATACACAGACAAGACAACACAGCTCTGCAGAGATTTATGGGTTTAGAAAAAGAAAGATTCATCAGAATAACACGATAGGGTTAATGATAAGAATTCAGAAGATAAAATGGGTTAATGTCTCTCGGTTTTTTGATTTCTTGTTGTTGAGATCTGATTGCTGACAGTCACAGTATGGAGGAAGATGATTGTACCAGACTTCAGATTTCAGATGGAGAAAATTTGAAATTTCTCAACTATATCATTTTAGGGAGCGAGCCACTTTCTGCCATAGCTTCCTTTAACAACTCCTGCTAGGCTTGTGACATTACACAGCAACTGGACCCAGAGACTGTTGCTAGGCAATACATAGCACAGATCCAAGGCTGCTTCAAGTCTCTGTCCCATAAATAAGCCACAAACCCATCTCTTATCTCTTTATTGGAATCTTTCTCTCCAAATCATTTGATTATCTGCTGTTTACTGGAAAAGTCACAGTTTTCGTAGTGTCATAAATTTGTACAGCGCAGAAACAGACCTTTCATTCCAACTCGTCCATGCCGACCAGATATCCTAAATTTAATCTAGGTTTGCCCTATATCCCTCCTAAATGCTGCTTATTCATATACTCCTCCAGATGCCTTTTAAATGTTGTTGTGATCGTACTGGCCTCTTCTACCTCTTCTGGCAGCTCATTCCATACACACTCCACCCGCTGCGTGAAAAAGTTGCACCTTAGGTCCCTTTTTAATCTTTCCCCTCTCACCTTAAACCTATACCTCTAGTTTTAGACTCCCCTACCCTGGGAAAAAGACCTTGGCTATTTACCCTATCCATGCCCCTCATGATTTTATAAACCTCTATAAAGTCACCCCTCAGCCTCTGATGCTCCAGGGAAAGTAGCCCCAGCCCATTCATCCTCTCCCTATAGCTCAAACCCTCCAACCCTCGCAACATCCTTGTGAATCTTTTCTGCAGCCCTTTCAAGTTTTGCAACATCCTTCCTACGGCAGGGAGACCAGAAGTGCACACAGTATTCCAATACAAGTATTCTCCTATAATGTGATAGTTGCGTTCTTGTGTGACCTCTTGCTGTGGGGAAATCATTTTATCTGTACAGCAGAAAGTTCGCATTACAGCCAATTCACGTTAACGAAACACGTGTTGCATCAGAACTACCCATAGTGGCCTAACCAATGTCCTGTACAGCCGTAACATGGCCTCCCAACTCCTGTACTCAATGCACTGACCAACAAAGGCACACGTACCAAATGCCGCCTTCTCTTTGACCTTTGACTTTCATTTCCAAGAAATCACACGATCAAGCCTCTCCAATCCAGAAACATTCTAAGACATTCACAGTCCAGTTTCTCCTAGGAATACATGCATTTATGGACTAACAGAAGTTGACCAGGATTCAATAGATGTGAAGCTGGAAAAGCACAGCAGGTCAGACACTTTCCAAGAAGCAGGGAAGTCAATGTTTCAGGCTGAAATCCTTTGTCGGCGCTGCTCTGAAAGCTTATGTTGGATTATAACCTGATGTCCTGTGACTCCATGACCAAGAGGACAATGTCTAGATTGGTTTTGACTCTTTGATCATGTGAGCTTCATCCTCCAATCACCTTGCTCCTGCCATTGGTAGTCGATCCTTGTGGTCCTTCCTTGCTTGGAAAGCAAGTGGATCCTTCTTCATCCTCATTGGTCAATGTCCTGTCCCCAAATGATGATCATCAAAGAATTTGGTATTTTTACAACCACAATTTATTTTTAATAATCTGTCATATTTTTCTGCAGTGTTTTTGTTTTAATAGTATGGTGTATCACTGGCCAGGCCTCCTCTGTAACTAATTTACTCACTTGTGGGATGTGGGCGTTGCTGGCTGGCAGTGTTTGTTGTCCATCCCTAATTGCTCTCAAAGGTGGCGAGTTTCTGAAATGAACTACCTCAGTCCTGTAGGTTTGAGGACAGCCATAGTTGTGCTAGGAATTCTGACCCAGTGACACTGAAGGAACAGGTAGCAGTATCCTTAGAGACTCAAGGACAATAGCAAAGAACTGGAAACCTCACCTTCAGCCTCCAAACCTCTCCTCACAATGCTCCAACATGGCTTGAAGGCAAGTTTGGTTGGTGAAGTGTCCAGAATCTATCCTATTTGTGTACAACCCCTCCCCATCAGGACATTGTTGTACAAAGCCATCATTCCAATCATTCATGATCATTGTGTACCCAGACCCATGAGACTGACTGAGCAGCTAATTGGAAAGTCCATATGGTGTGATGATCTGAAGATCTGCTGAATGATAAAGGGGCTTGGTGAACAACAACAAGTGTAATTTCCATTGAAAAATAGGAGCAGGAGTAGGCCATTCAGTCCTTTTGAGCCTGCTCTGCCCTTCAAAATGATTGTAACTGACCATCCAACTTGATCCCCTGTTCCTGCTTTCTCCCATCACCCTTCCATCCCTTTAACCCTAAGAACTATGTCTAACTCCTTGAAAACATTCAACCACTTTTCTGTGGCAAAGAATTGCACAGGTTCACTACTCTCTGAAGAAATTTTGCCTCATCATAGTCCTAATTGGCTGACCCCTTAGACTGTGACTCAGGTTCTGGACTCCTCGTCTATAGTGTTGGAGTTGGTACATTGGCATGGATAGACAATTGGCTAATGGGCAGGAAACAGTGAATGGGAATAAGGTTTTATTTCAGGTTGGCACAGGGATCCGTGCTAGGACCATAATTGTTTACAATATATGTTAATGACATGGAAGGAAGTGAATGTACTGGAGACAAATTTTCAGACAACACTAAAGTAGATGAAAGGCAAGTTGCAAAGGGGATACAAATAATTTAGAGTTATTGATAAGTTAAATAATTGGGTAAAATGTTAACAAATGGGTTATAACATGGGAAAATGTGAAGTTGCTTATTTTGGAAGGAAGATCAAAAGAACAAAATATCATTGAAATGGAGAGAAACTGCAGAAAGCTGCTTCACAAAAGGACTTGGGGACTTGAGCACAAAACACAGGGAGCAGCAGGGAATCAGGAAGGATCATGGAATGTTGCCCCATATTTCAAGAGGTTAGAGTATAAGAGTAGGGAAGTCTAACAGCAACTATACAGGGTTCTGGGGAGACCACATCTGGAGTACTGTGAGCTG